TCTCTCTCTCTCTCTCTTCTCTCTCTCTCTCTTCCTTCCTTCCTTCCTTCCTTCCTTCCTTCCTTACCTACCTACCCACCTACCTACCTACCTACCTACCTACCTACAAAAAGCAATGTATTTTTAACCTGAAATGACAATTTTTAATTTTCATTCATGACAGTAAACATTTGATTATAACTTTACCTTGGGCCAGTAGGAAGCAGCTAACATATATCCACCTTGTAAGATACAATTAGAATTTGGTGTTCCATTATTCATTTGGAAACTGTCCTGGGTTTCGTCCTGCACAGTGCTTATTGAAGCTACACTTTCTTCATCATATGCTTTCAAGTGAGGTGTTCCTTCTCCTGGAAGAAATGTTAGATAATCAGTAACAATACACACCCTTCTCCACTGTAGAAGTTTGATGTGCGCAACTGTACAACACACTTCCTAGCATTCCCCTGCCACTGAACTTTGAAGTACATAAGTCCATAATACACTACAGATGAGAGAAATTAAGTTAGCAGGAATTGGCAAGAGGTGCAGGAACATAATATCAATAATACCACAACAGTCCTCAAACACCCAGATTATCACAGGACCAGCAATGCCTGCCCCACTGTAGGCAAAAGTGTCACAATTAATTAGACTGTTACTGAGAAAAATTTGGGAACTGGATAATCAAGCACATAAAAAGGGGTAGAGGAACACTAAAAAGCTGTACCTAAGTAATTAAAGGAAATTAAATTCCACTGATGAATGTTTCATTCTAGCCATAAAACATTCCACCAATTTTTTTTGCAGGCCATCTAGGAAACTACGTAGAATGTGGCTTAATGGGATAAATTGCTAGTGATTATATTAGAACATGCTTAGCTTTCTGTCCATACCTAAATTTTTTTCTACTGGATGGAACCATAAGAAATCGTTAACTAGCTATTAATATATTGCTTTTGTAAATACATAACTTCTATATAGCAAAAAAGAGTGTAATTATTTTCAAAGTGTAAAAAAAACATTCTAGTGGAAGAAAGACAACTTGGCTTGGATTCAGTAAGAGAATGATTTGTGTTTTGCAGAGAGATTGTACACAACGTGAGCATAAGGATTCTGTTTGGACTAGTCTGGAACCAACTGTTCTGATCCTTCCTTCTCAAAATACTGTCAAGATTACAATGCAGATTTTCTTTTGACTATGCAGCTTTCTGAATTTCATGTTGCAACTTTTAAAGATATATCCAGGTGGACAGAAAATGTACAAATTTTCATGTGAATTAAAAGAACAATCTTGCATCAAAAGTGAGATCAGCATGGAACAGATTTGAGAATGAACAAAAGGACGACTGACATGCTGAAATTATTCTGTATAGAAGGTAGATTTTGGGCAAGGAGGGAAAAGGGGGGATTGTGGTGCAGATAATTGCTCTCCGTATGCAGTACACACCAAGGAATAATGACAGACAGAACTGTCTTTATTCTGTTCTAGATAGAGGGCTAGAGACTATAGACTTAATCAGATATTTTCCTCATTCTCAAGCAAGATCAATTTTCCCCCAGCAGGTTTCATTAGAGTATTCCTTTGTCTTTCTAAAACTCATTTCCTGTGACTCAAAATATCCCCTTTCATCTGAAAAACAGTGAAAAGTGGTTTATGTCTTTCTCTGAATCAGCTTTTAAGAGCAAAAAACAAAAACAAAAAACACTTACGTCTCTTTTGTGCCTCCTCTTCATCACTGTCACTCTCTTCTGATGAAGAGGAAGAAGAGGAAGAGGAGGAGGAAGAGGAAGAAGAAGAGGAAGAGGATGATGATGCTGAAGAACAAGATGAAGAAGATGAAGAGCTGGATCCTGATCTGGAACGAGAGCAAGAGGAAGAAGACGACGATGAAGATGAAGATGATCTGGAAGAACAGGATGATCTATCTGAATCGGAGTCTGAATCAGAACTAGAGTCTGATCCTCTCTTTCCAGATCTTTGCTTTTTGGAAGCAGCATTTAGAGTTAAGGGTTCTGTCCTTGCTGCAACCATACGCCTGTCATTATCTGCCTTCGAAACAGGCTTGTGGTCTGCAGCATGTGAGGGTGTGCCATTCTTTGGACTTGAAGGTTCTGTCTTCACTCCCATCTGCAAATTTTCAGTAGACATGGACTCTTCGTCTGAAGAATGAGGTTCTTTATGGTTTTCATTCTTAGTTTTTGTATCCTCAAGCACATTCCCTTTAACATCTGGCAGCCTTGCTTGAGGCATGAGAGGAGATGCCGACAATGCCATCTGATACTGTTGTAAAAGTGGAGTAGAAGTCCTTGAAAGTGCTACTTTACTGTGACTGTAGTTCCTCTGGGCTGACATAAATGAAAGTTCAGGATCACGAAGGATGTGGTAATCTGTCCTGCTAACTCCATGTTTTGCAGCACCAACCAATAAATCCCAATCATGGGTCCCACATTCCCACCAAACAGGCAAGTCGGGATTTGGCTGACAAAGTTTTAATCGCTCAAATAGCTGAGGATGACGGACAGCTTGCTCTCGTACCTTTCTGAGAAGCTCAATACGATATAAGGTTCGAGATGCACGTTCTTCTGTTATTGGCTGAATGAAAACATTTGAATCCACAAGTTCTGCACAAGAAACACAAAAGAATTAGTCTTGTAACGGGATTTTCTAAGTTAAATTAGAAACTTAGGAAATTAACAAGCAAATTTATTTATTTATTTATTTATGAAAAGTTATTTATTTATCCATCCATTCTAATCTCTCTTTCTTTCAGTGAGGAATTAACGCTGCCTTCTAACAAAAAAAAAAAATCTAGGAGCCAGCACTTGCTTTTGGGGAAGAATTTCTAAACATTATCATATATTAAAACATGCATTTCACGATGTGGTATTTCTCTTATATGGTAAATTTTCATATATGTGTTCTATGTCTTTATCGCTTCTAAATCAGTTCATTCTTTCTTTGGGAGAAAAAAAAAAGTATTATAAGCAACCCACCATCTTTTGAAGGTAGGCGACAAACTCTTCTGCACATGGCCATGAATGCATAGAGATATTTCTCTAAACTTTCATCTGTTTTTTTATGTAGCCTCGCCATCGCTCTAAATTTTGTCCAGTCAAATTGGGCTCTGTCTGGATCAAATACTACACCAAAAGTAGACACGACTCTATAGAAATCAGCTTCTTCTCGTCTTGTCCACCTAGATTGAAGGGCAAAGGGGAAAATGATCACAAATAAGCAATTTTTCCAGAACACTATGAAGTTAAAAAAGAAATCAAAAGAGTTTTTGTGATCTACAACATTCATAGCCTACCTTTGTTGTCTTTCGATTTTGGCAGCCATTTTTGGATTTAAAGCAGCTTCTTCAAAGGCAGATGGCATCACACAAGCCTGGACAGAAAAGGGTGCTTGAATTGGCTGGCTTTGCCTGTTCTTACTAGTACGCTGATATGCTGTTATGAGACGACGCAATCGTGTTGTTAAGGCAGACTGAGTTGGCCAATAAAGCTTGTCTCCTTCAATCATCTGACCATCTGTAATTAAGAAAGATGATAATAATCAGTGTTGGTTTACTATGTTAGGTATCAAACAAAATGGAAGATTACATTTCAGAAGCACAATTATTAAAGTAGAAAGATAAAACCATGAGATCTTACCTCCATCTCCTATTACAAGATCCCCAGGCGATGAGGCATCATCCTAAGAAATAACATTTAGAATGCAAAATGAACAAAAGCACAATTCAGTTACAATATATGCCACATCTTGAAGTTGACCCAACACACAAAAAATAGTAATAACTGAAACGTAACTATGGATAACTGACAACTCTCATTTAACCATAAACTCATGATCTCCCTATACAAAATAAAAATTACATCAGATGAAATGTTGCAATGAATGTAATTTAAAAAAAATACAGTTAACCAAATACAGGTAACCAAGATAAATATTTAGCATCAAAGGATAAGTGTGACAGCCCTATAAAATATATCTAATCTACTTATTTACAGGGCTTATAGGCTGCTCCAATCAGAACTGACAGGTAAACAATTTCCCCTCTGTGAGCTATGATACAAATGTATAAAAGAAAATAATCTCCTCATATAACAAAACAATAACATCATACAAATAATAGCTGGGAATAAAACACAGTCATCAAGACACAATTAACTACTTCAGAAGCTGGGGGGGGGGGGA